TCATTGCTCTCAAATATTGTCTATTTTTTATATTTTGCTGTATAAAATCATATCTGAGATTTATTGATACGGTCAATAACTCAATGGTCTTAGCAATACCTAACAGCAGTAGCAAGGACTGAAAAAAGTGTTGGAAATTGTTTTGCCTCTATATGTTTGGTTCTTTTTTGAAGTTTGATTTTACATTTAAATGCTGTTGGGCAAAAGTAAAATATAGTCAATAGTTGCAACTTTTGCTGAATTTTCAAAAAACGTGCTTTTCTTTTTTCTTTGAAATTTTAATGATAAACTGCGACTGTTGAGTTTATGTAACTTTGATTATTTGAATATGTTTCTTCTTTGTTCATTATTCATAGGCTAATTATCAGTTGAATACTTTATTTTACTGACTGGTATTTTTGCTTTATAAAAAACAGTTTGTGTTAATTTTACAATGAAAAATGAGGGAACAGGCAACAATTAAAAAAATATTTTTATTTTTTAGTACAATAAGTTTAACAAATAAAAATTATTAAGCCATTAACCACTGGTGGTTTGTCTGGGACAAAAAAAAAGACGATATTCCACCTTCACACTTGATTTTTGAGAGTAAGTTTTGTTTACAAAGTCCGAGTTTAATGTTGACGTCGTGGCAGCCATGTTTTATGTACTGGTCAGTGTATTTCGGGACATGCTGAACAAATCTATCTACCAGCTCTTCTCCTCCACCCCCATCTAAACACCATATTTACTCACTGTTTTCCCCTCATCCCCCTTAGTTTAAGCAAAAATCGATCAGTTTTTAACTACTGGTACCTTACACGCTTTTCCACCGCCGTTACATTCGTGAAACATAAAAACCACCTCGTTCTCTTTTTCTTCCCCCTACCCTCTCGCCCCCCTCCGCCACTTCTCCTCTTCGATACGTCCCATTACCGGCAACCCGGCCAAATGAGCACCGCACCGTGTCTCTCTCACCATTAGGGGTCACGAGTGTTTATCTCCTTAACTCCTCGAATGGCGCTATCTGAATACCCTAGCAGTACTTCTTCTCACCGCTCTTCCCCAGTCCTAATTTTGTTCTTCCATTTTTGTATTTCAGAATTCAAAATCACCTTCATAGCTGTTTATTTTGCCTTCTGGTCAAGAGCTGACCTTTGCTACAGCCATATTTACTGATTACGGTACACCTTGGTTTTCATGACTTGAGAGAGGAATTATTAGCCTTAATTTTTAGCCATTATTGTCAGCATTAATACCAATGTTCCTACAGGACATAATTTTTAGACCATTAGTACCTAAAAAAAGCATTATTATTAAAATGTGCTCATGTGTTTGTGGCCTAATTTTTTTCCTTTTTTTTTTTTTTTTTTTTTTTTTTTT